GTGTGATTAGCATTAAATTCACTAACAACAACAATATTGACAAACTGATGACAAAAGTGAGAGGTTTTGGTCAATTTGATTAGAAAAAACATTTAAAAAAAGTGCAGTCTTGAGATTAAGGAGAGTGATATAGAACAAAGGAAAAGCCGATAAAATGAAGTGGTGCTAAACGAAAGCACATAAAAGAATAGTCGGTGGTTTCAAATCTAGTTTCCCAACAAATGGGTGAATTTTTGCAAATGTAAATGCCCATGCCAAGTATGTGACTATAGGAATCTTTACAAATTAAAGAAAGATAACCATTAACACTAAGATCACAGGATGAGAAAGCCGAACTCAAACTAGTCTCAAAAAGAGCAAGTTGGCCTGGTAAACTTTGCAAGAGATAAGACTCAACAGAAGAAAACTTCCTTTGAAGACCACAAATATTAGTGAATGATAGGTTCAGAGAACTTGGTGATAACGATGGTTTTTTGTGTTTTATAGTTTTTGGTACTTTAGTCATACCTAAAAGAATCAATATTACCATTACCAAAAAGAGCCAATATCAAAAATACTGATGTATTTTGTCCTAAACAAATATCTGAAGTGATTAATAAATATTTTACAAGTGCCGCACTTCATCTTGCTAACAAAATTACACCAACCTTGTCACCAACCTTGTCACCAACTTATAATTCTTTTAAAATCTAAAACCATCACCTGACTCATTATTGCATGATTTTAACTTAACATTAAAAGAATTTGTTTTTAAAAAATAATAAATTACCAGAATTTTATGATATACCCAGTAATATACTTATTACAAATAAAAAAAGTATTAGTAAACTGTTATTTTATATAGTAAAACTTTGTTTCGATCAAGGGATATATTAAAATAGCAAAAGTATTTCCAAAAATGATGATTATTCTAATCTTTCCAACTACAGGCCTTCATCAGTGCTTTCTGTATTTTCAAAAATATTCGAACCTCTAATTTACAATAGAATCTTAGATCATTTTACTAAAAACAATTCTTTTATTCAAATCAATTAGGATTTCAGAAAAATTATTTAACTGAACATGATTGTATTGAATTAGTTGATCAAATAAGTAATGGCTTTAGCGAAAATAAACTTACTTTAGATATATTTATAGTTCTCTTAAAAGCTTTTGACACTGTCGATCATTTTATTTTTTTAGAAAAGTTAAAGCATTACGGAGTAATTAATAAGGTCTACTATTGGATTAAAAGTTACCTCTAACTAAAAACCAATATGCTCTAAATCAAAAATGCGGAATACTTAAAATCACGTGTGGAGTCTTCAAGGATAGATACTTCGTCCTCTCTTTCTCTCAGTTTACATAAATGACTTAGTTAATGCATTAGTAAAGTAAAACCCAAGTATGTTCGCAGATGACAAAAACCTATTTTTTTTTAACAATAGTATAAAACAACTTAATGCAGGCATGAATTTTGAATTAATAAATGACTGTTTTATAACAAATAAACTCTCATTAAACGTTGAAAAAACTAAGTATACCTTGTTTCATAAAAAAATGCAAAAAGAAATTCTTTCCCTTAAATTACCATCCCTATTTTCAAAACGCAAGACTATATACAGTTTTTATGAATACATTTTAACAATAATTTATTGTGGACCTAAGTAATGGAATTCTTTTTAAAAAATTTGTGCAAATATGGTAAAATCATTAAAATCATTAAAGTTCTAAGCAAAAAAAAACATGTTTTGAATTTTGCGGAATAAAAACGAAGCCCTTTTATAAATTTATTCAAATGGATTTTACTTATTATTGTTAGTAGTTACTAATGGTATAAGTGTCTTTTAATGTAAAATTTTTTAATCTTTCTGTATATGCTTGTATGGGAAAAAGGTTACTACATCTGTCCAACAACATCCGTGGAGTAGTGAAATAACATGCGCACATTTTTGTACAAGATCATCCGCTTTTTTTCTTTACTGAATTAATATCTGCCCAACAACATTTGATTTTTCATTGATGTCTAATAACAACTTTAGAAAGATGTAACTACATGCGGGAGTTTTTCTCAATGTGAAACTACATCCGCCTAAAATAATGCATTATTAAATAAAATAAATTTCCAGACATATTTACATCCGCAAAAAATCAGATGAGTAAATACATCTGGTTAAAATAATGCATTTTTGAATGTTTTTTTCCTTGATGTAGTTACATCCGAAAAAACTTATTTTTATTGACAATATTGACAAAATTTTTAGGAATTTATATTGATGAAAATCTTAAATGGAAAAATCACAATAACAATCTAAATAACAAAATTGCTAGAACTATAGGAATATAATATAAATCAAGAAGTTTTTTAAATAAACATACTTTAATTCAATTATATTATTCCTTTATTCACTGCCATATTAACTACGCTAATATTGCTTGGGGTAGTGTGAACAAAAGTATACTAGAACCTCTTCATCGTCAACAGAAACACATTGCACGTCTTATAAACTTTAAAGACCAATTTACTCATGCCAGGCCTCTCTTACTTGAAATGAATATTTTAAATATATATCAGCTAAACATTTATAATATTTTATGTTTTATGTATAAATGTAAAGCCAACGATTCTCCTTCTTCCTTTCATAACCTATACTCAACAAAAGAAAAAAACAAGTACAATCTACGAAATGATAATTTTATTCAACTACAATTTTCGCATACAAATTTTGGTAAATCTTGTGTTTTTTTGCGAGGAGCCTTTCTTTGGAATAAAATAGTTTTGAAATATTTTGACTGTTCTCATGAATGGACTTATACATCATATAAAAGAAAACTTAAGAAAACCATTTTGTCTATTGATAATATACTTTTATACTTTTAATAGGAAACTTATTTGTAAATTTCTATTTTTACTTAAATTATGTTTTTCTTCTAATATTGTTAGACAAAATATTTAACACATAAATTTTTAACGAGTTTGCACACGTTCTCGGCGACAAGACCTTAAGGTCTTCTACGAGTCTCCGCATTCTTTTTTTTTTTTTTTATATTTATAGTAAAAATCCTCACTTGTAATTTTTTATGTTATTATATCTTAACTTGCAGGTTGTACTGGGTTACATGTTACCAGTAGCAGGATAATCTGACCTGACTTTAACGCTTTCACTTCAGCTATAATTACAAATTTTCAATTAAGTCATAGATTTAATTGATAGTTTATGTGAAGCGAATGGATTTTACACGTTTTATGTTTTTTTGTTATATTGAATATAAAATAATTATTTGTTTCAATATTGTATTGAATATTTTTTGTCTTTAACAGTTTTATACTTTTTTATACTTGAAATTGTTTGTGTATAAACAAAACCAGTTGATTTTAAAACTCAGGAAAAATCTGTGTGCATGCGCATGGGTTAGAAGGTAGGAATTCTATACAAGTGATGAGAATCGTTAACTAACTTATAATGCTGTTTAATCAATTTACAGTGAAATAGGCAAAAGATTTTGTAAATTAATAGAAGATATCTTTTTATTTTGTAATAGAAAAAAAAATTACTGCAAAACGATGAATATGGTGTTAAACTGAGTAAACAAGATTTTTTTTTGTATAGAAACAATACTTGCGAGTATAATTTCTATACAGATGATGACGATGCCTAAATTTAATCAACGCCGCATTGCAAGAATTACAATGAAACAATAAAGTTTGTTTATTTAATTTGCGAAGAACATATTAAAATCAAGAAAAAAATATTCATTCACTAGATTACACAAAACCTTTTTATTCAAATATTATTCTGGAAACATTTCATGTAAAAAGTTTTGGTGTAGAAACACGAAACTTTTGTAAAGTACCAGTGACGATAAAGAGGATATATCACTCAGTCCTATGTAACTTTGCATGTGTGAAATAATTGTTTTTTTCGAAATTTTAATCAAAGCAATATTAAATTTTATATAAAGAATGTTTAATAAATTGAATTTGTCAATAAAGTAGATAATTTGTCGTTATTTGTTTATTTTTTGAAAATTTGTATAGAAACTCGACTTTGTTACAGTGTTTCTATACCACACGCTTATTAGAAATTGCTATAAAAAAACCCTTATGAGATGAATTGACAAAATAATATCATAGGATTAAAGAAGACACAAAAATATTTTGGAAAAAATATGTTTCACAAAATAAAACATTTGTAATTTATTTTAAGTTAATGCAAAAGTTAACACGCAAAAGCGTGTTAACTTTTGCATTAACTTGAAACAGAGAAATTTTTGCAACTAAACATTATCTAGTCAAAATAGTTACAAATACACAGTTGAAAAAGTGCCGAATATTTTTTCTCTTTTTTCAAAAGCAACAGATATTTGTGTTAGTGAAACGAGTAAATTACTTACCTAGTTTTTCAAGATTAGTGCTAGCCACACACTTAAATAAAAATTAAACTGATTCATAGCAAACTTAAACTTGATAACGACAAATATAGAAACACGACACAAACATCACTTTTTGTGCGCTATCTTCAAAAATTCTTCTTTTTTTAATTTATTTTGATGCTAAGAATGTAACCTACAAAATTTCTGAGCTATTGATGCAAAAACTATAACGTTATCATCAACCGTTGTGAAATAGGAATCTTTTGTAAAAATGTAGAGTTTCCATACAGAAATTCGTCTAATGATGTTGTTGATGATGATATTAATGATGATATTATGATTATTATCAGGGTAGCTAGCCACTTTGTACAATTAAATTCCCTGACTTTTCCCTGACTTTTTATATTTTTCCTTGACTCAGTTATATTTTAAAGTGTGACTTTTTAAGTTTTGTTGTTTCGGAGTAAATATAAAAAAAATCTTTAAAAAAATAAATTTTGAAAAAGAGATTTTTTTCCCCTAACTTTTGGAAAAAAAATTAAAAATCCCTGGCTTTTCCCTGATTTCCAGTTGGCTGGCCACCCTGATTATTACAATTATGATGATATATAAACAATAAAATCAAAAAAAAGCATAATTAACAAAACCTTTTATCTTTAATATGTTGTCCTATAGTGCATTCATTTATCAGTTCATTAGTAGATTCTCCATTCCTTAGCCATGAATAATTTTCAAAGTTGTTTGGATTAGAAGCTTCCTGTAAAAACGCATTAAAAGATAAAAGTTGCTTTGGTAAAGTATTAAAAAAATTATTAAATAATCATTATAACATTTAAAATTTTAATAACAACATAATGGAATTTTCACATATAAGTAGCAGTAAAAAGTAGCAGTAGTAAGTAGCAGTAGTAAGTTGCAAGTAACAGTAGAAAGAAGCAAGTAGCAGTAGCAAGTATTTATACAAGAAAACTTCTTTTACCCGTGTCAAAATTATAGTTACTAAAGTTGTCATAGTACAGATGGTAATAGATAGAAACAGTGGCATTATAAGGTATGTGAATTGGAGTAAAACCTCAAAATAACAACTTTAATTTTAAATCGAAATAGAAAAAAAATATATAAAAAAAAACAACTCGTAAGTGCTTTCAAAAAATAAGGACGATTAATTCATATATACTTATTTCATATTTGATGCATGCATATTTTCATGAATGCATCAATTAAAAAATAAGGAAATATGTAAAACAATTTTTTACTTATTTCACAACACAAAATAAATTTAGTTTTATCAAGACTGTGATAGAAGCATTAACATTTTAACGTTAAAACACACTTGTGTGGTTTGGATGTTCGATACTGTATCATATTTAAATAAGAAAATAAACAAACTAAACAAAATAAACAAAGGAAGTTCCAAAAAAATGTATTTTTTTTCATATATTCCAGGCCTTCTCAGGAGACGCATGCGGTGGCACGCCTTGAATGACCACGCCTTGAATGACCATATTTTTTTGTTGATAATATGGCCACGATTTTTTTTGCATTTATTAGAAATGATGCATTTTAAAAACGTGCTGAAAAAACAAAATTAATTGCTCATCTTTTTTTAATTATTATTAATAATGCATTATTATAGTTATTAATGAGAAAATAAAAACATTAAAATAACATATATATGCAATTCCATTTTTAACTTACATTACACGTGCAACAACTTTATCAAATATTTGCTTATTTAAACTTTTAAATTAAACTTTTAGCAATTTTGTATGAAAGCTGTTAGTCTAATAAATAAAATAAGCTTAAAAATTTTGAGTTCGGCCAAAATAGAGCAAACTTATTACTAAAAATGCCACTTGCACTTATGTTACATAGAAAACAAGGTAAAAAAACAAATTCAACTTATAGGTCTCATTTCTGTGAATCAGTAAAGCAGTTTGTATTAGAAACTTTTACAAAATGCAGATAATTCTAAACCAATTTAAAATTTTTATAAAAACTTTTTTAAAATAAACTTGTTTTTTTGATACTGTATTTTTTACTTAAATTACATCACTTACATTATCGAGCGGTTATCATGATTTTTTTTATCTATTATTAAGAGTTAAAGTTACATAACAAAAGAATTGCATAAGTATTAAACTCATTTGTTAAAAATAATTAACAAAGAAATTTTTTAAAAACTGGTGGCACTCTTCCTAAGTGATTTTTTGTAACATTCATGTAAGTTATCAAACCGAAAACAGTTTTTTCGCAAGACCAAGAGCAACTTCAGAAAAATATTTTAGTTTTACATCTTTATTATTACTTAATTGAGTCATTGGTTTGTCGAATTTTTTATTTACACTTCTTACATTTATGCGTATCACTTTATTTTTATAAGATTGAATTTTTATAATGCTGCTAAGTTAAATTTTTAAATATTTAAATCTTTTCTAAACATCTATATGTCAACCAAAATAACAGTACATAAACAAACAAACAAAAAAACAATAAAATAAATAATTTTAATACATATAAAAAAAAAAAGTTTTTTTTTAAATTCTCCTTATATAAAAAGTTTCAGTTAAAACCTTGTCAAGCCAACAGGAAGAAATAATAGTTACTTAATGACGTAATTCATTTAGTAAACAAAAATTAAAAATATAGCCATTTAAAAAATTTAAAACTGATTTCTATACAGATGATTTATATTGCTATTAGTTATGGATAATAATTAAACTACTTAAGATATTTATGTATATGTATTTATGTATATAAATATATAAACATATACCTTGAAAAAATCTTGGTTTGCAGAGAAAATCTGCAATTTGTAAACTTTTGCAATTAACTTATAGCCATATAGCCAATATATAGCCAACTTATGTATTAAATATCAATTTGTGATACACATGTAATCAATTCTTACATAATACAATTATAAAAAAGCAATAAATGTAAGATTTCATTTTTAAATAAATTTTTCTTATGAAATCAATTTTGACTGGCCGAAACGTCTTGGTTAAATATTTGCCAAAATATCGGTTTTGGCACTGAACAAGAGTACCCGAAATTTCGATTTATTTCAGCTTCGGCTTTTTTTCTGTTTTAGTTGATCACTAATATGTACAAATATATATATATATATATATATATATATATATATATATATATATATATATATAAATATATATATATATATATATATATATATATATATATATATATATATATATATATATATATATATATATATATATATATATATATATATATATATATATATATATATATATATATATATATATATATATATATATATATATATATATATATATATATATATATATATATATATATATATATATATATATATATATATATATATATACAGTCCCATGACAATTTATTAGTGCCACCAATATTTTTTTCATATTTTCTTATTCAAGTTGAATTTAACAATTGAAAAGTAATGTAATATATTTTAAATGTATTATTTATAAGAAGTCAATTATGTATAAAGTTAATTTCTTCAGATTTTTTTTTACTATTGGCATCCCTGACATTTCTGGAAGCCATCTTGTCACGACACTATTAATCAACTGTCATCTTTACAAGCACATGATTGTTTTTCTCTGTCTATTTTATCGTTTTTTTTTTAGAATTCTGAAGAAGTAAGTGCAATATTTAGTTTTTATTTGTTTTACTAATATAATTTAAACTTGTAAATAAAGATTTTCTAATATTATTATTACAAAAAGTCAAAGTTAACAATCAAAATAAAAGAAAATAGATTAAAATGGGCTCTGAAGTATAAAAACTTTACAGTAGAAGATTGGAAACAGGTTTGTGTTTAAATTATTTTAACATTTTTATATGAAAACACACATGGAATGAGAAATTATAAAACAATATTTTATTTCAGGTTTGCTTTAGTGATGAGAGCACATTCCAAGTGATGACAAACAAAGCTCAGTATGTTCGCCGTAAAATATCGGAAAAATATCACGAAGACTGTGTTATAAAAACTGTGAAATATCCGACTTCTGTCATGATTTGGTCTGTGATAAGCGGAAAAGGTTTGGGTCGACTCTACGTTGTAGAGGGCATTATGAGGCAAGACCAGTATCGAGATGTCTTGCAACATCGATTGTTACCACAATTAAGGGATTGGTTTGGTGAAATGGAGAAATTTATATTTATGCAAGATGGTGCCCCTTGCCATACTGCAAAATCTATAAAAAAGTTCCTCTCAGAAGAAAAAGTTCCATTATTGGATTGGCCAGGTAACTCACCAGACGTCAATCCAATAGAAAATGTTTGGGAACTCCTGAAGAGAAAAATTTCAAAAGAAAATATCACAAACAAAGTTAATTTGATTGAAAAAATTATATATTATTGGAACCACGATATAAATTTAAAAGAAATGTCATTAAAATGTATTGAAAGCATGCCTCGACGCGTCCAAACAATTATTGATGCCAAAGGCGGACTCACAAAATATTGATACAATGTGTGTCTATCATTAGGTTTTTTAATTTTTGTCGTTATTTTATAGATTTATTTGGTTTTATTGTGTATATGAATGTTAATCAATTAAAAATAAAAAGTATTTGAATACATTTTAATTGTTTACTGCATTTTATAACCCCAAGAAATCATTAATACAGAAAAAATGTAGGTGGCACTAATAAATTGTCATGGGACTGTATATATATATATAACCCTCGGAATTAGGGTCGGCATTCAGCAATGTCGACCTAACTGCCGACCTGAAAGTATTCGAGGTTGGCAAAAAAAAGCCTACCTCATTTCTTTGTTTTATGGTCAGACTTTTGTATTAAATAATTTTTGCCGACCTGATGCCGACCTTAAAAAGATTGAGGTCGACATATTATTGCGGACCTCATTTTTCCTAATTACGGGGGTATATATATATATATAAATATATATATATATATATATATATATATATATATATATATATATATATATATATATATATATATAAATATATATATATATATATATATATATATATAAATATATATATATATATATATATAATATATATATATATATATATATATATATATATATATATATAAATATATATATATATATAAATATATATATATATATATATATAAATATATATATATATATATATATATATACATATATATATATATATATATATATATATATATATATATATATATATATATATATATATATAAATGAATATATATATATATATATATATATATAAATAAATATATATATATATATAAATATATATATATATATATATAGATATATATATATATATACAAATATATATAAATATTTATATAAATATATATATATATATATATATATAAATATTTATATAAATATGTAAACATATAAATATATAAACATATAAACATATAAACATATAAATATATATATATATATATATATATATATATATATATATATATACACAAATATATACATATACACACACACATATATACATATACAGACACATACAAGCAACATTTGGGTTTGTAGATAGTGTTGTAATTTTTAATAAACATTTATTTTTATGACAGCAATTAGATTTAATTTCTGTTCATTAATTTAGAAGTTTATAATGATGTAAAATAAGTTTATAAATGTTATAAATAAGTTTATAATAAAAATCATTTATAACAAAAATATTTTAAAATGGTTATTAAAAAATATATATTTACATGTTTTAATTCTGGAAAAGATTTTTCTGAGTCTTCTTGGAACACTGTATCTGATAACATTTCATGCTCTTCTGTTAAAGTGGAAAGCTCTTTCTGACCAGACAATGGAAACTTCAAGAGATCTTTTAAAATCAATTTTAAATATTACAGAGTTTCCTATAGAGTAATTCCATGTCAATTGAGCCAGGCCATGTCACCATACATCTCAGATTTTGCTGATTTTTATACAGTTGAGAGTACTTAGTAAAACAAAAAATCCTTGAAAATTTTAGCTTCTAGCTCCAAGAGGATCATGAAATATGATCATTTTACTTTTAACTGATCTTGGCCAGGCCCCTCTTGTCCCCTCAGAAGTGTGACCTTTAAAGGTTCCAAGTCATATAGCTTTAAAAATATTTGATCTTTTAACTTAAAAATTTGTACCTGGCTATTTTCAGGGTCGAAGAATCCAATGAAATAATCAGAAATGTAAAAAAAATTTTTTAAGTACTTGTAATTATCAATTTAAATAAATTTAGGCAATTTTTTATATACCTGATTTTGATGCTCAAGAAAGCCATGTGGCCTTGATGATATAAAAAAAAAAAATTGTACACATTATTCTATGTTTAATGATCTTTCAGAAAACATAAAAATTTTGATCTGCAAGTATATGGATTTCCATATATGGTTAACGGGGCACAGGCCCCACTATTTTGTAGCAGAATCTTGCCATACATTTTTCACTACCTTTCAGACTAGCTGGAATGATGAAAATTTTTGTATTTATGTAGTGTCAATAAATGTGCATTTTAAAATTAAAAAAAGGCCCAAGACACTAGGGGAGGGGGCTGGGGGGATGTGCCCCACTTTTTTGACCGGAATCTTGAGATGGATTTTTCAGTATCTTCCAGACAAGCGTGAGCTTTGAAACTTTCAGCATTTGTGTAGTCCTGATGAACATGCTTTAAAATAGTTTCAGGTCAGACGACTAGAAGGTCCATGGGGCTGGGGCACCAGGGACCATGCCCCACTTATTTCCTCAAAATTTTTTTTTTTTAAAACATGAAACTATTGTCTTCAAAATTTTTTTTTAGTTTTTTTATTTTTAACAATGTTAAACATATCTTTGGTAACATTGCTTCCACAAATTTTTGTGAAATAAATTGCTTCCACAAATTTTTGTGATTTATATTTGTTCAATTTGGTTTTTGCTCATTCTATGTTCAATGATCTTTCTTAAAATGTTTTAAGAAAGTTAATGTTTATAAGAATTTTGATTTGCATGTATAAGATTAAAAACAGTCTAAAATAAAGGTTTTACCAGAATTTTATTTTGTATAATTTAAAATTTTAATTAAAAAAGATTAATATATTTTAATGCTAAAATGGTAACAGCAAGTTGTTTAATTAACTTCCAACAGAAAAAAACATCCTGTCATAACATTATATCAATAAAAAAGAAATTTATCAATTTTTCAAAATCATTATTTTATTTGATATTTGCTAATTCTAAAATGTTAACAGCAAGTTATTTTATTAAATAAGAACTATTTACAGTAACAAAAAACATCCTGTCATTACACTAGTATAGAAGAAATTTGTTACCTATTAAAGTCATCATTAATTTTTAACATTAACAAATTGATTATAATTAAACTTTGTGAAATGGAAACTTTCTTTTTGTTAAAGTAAGATAAAAGAAATCAATCACTATTTAGTTTTGTATTACCATGGTGATTGCTTAAGTTGCTTTCATTGAATTAATTACTATTGGTTTCTCATTTTTAAATTAATCTCAAAATGTTTTTAGTGTTACAGTAAGAATGGATTCATGTGATTTTGGAAAAAAATTAAATGATACTTGTCATAAACTAAGTTATTGTAGAAAGATTGATTTAAAGAAATTTGATTGCTATAGAGAAGATGCCAGAGAAGAATTTATTTGGAGATCTGGAATAACAGATGATAAAATTTTAACAATCTGCCTTCGTCATGAAAAGATTTTTGGTACACACTTTGAAAAGAAGCACACAAAATGTTGCAATTTATTGGACAAGCATAAATCAAAAACAAAAGCAATCAAAGGTAAATATTGTTGATAAAAAATTATTGTAAAATCTTTTTTGAATAATGAAATTAAAATCTACTAGTTTATAAAAGTTTGAAAAAAAGCTGATCTGGTTATGCAATGTATATGGAAATAAGTACAAATAATTTTCATATTCATAGGTAATTACTAAAATCAAATTGTTCTTTTCTTTTCAGGGAGTCATAATAATAACATTAGACATGGCAAAGCAATTGAGAATTAATTTTCCAAATGTTGTGCCTGGATATCAACTTTGTCGGAGCTGCTTTGACGCTATAATCAGTAAATTTCATGAACAAGATAATTGTGAATTTGAGGAATCTATTTCATGTGCTACTTCTGAAAAGTTACGAGAGGCATTAAATGTTAGTTTGGAAACAATAGGTGTATCCCCCATAAAACTTCATGGCATTCCAAAGCATCAACAACTATCTGTTGCTAAAAGTAAAGTTATAAAAATAATGTCAAAGTATGAAGAGCATATTTCAAAAGTATATAATGTTAGGGAAGAAGAACTGAAACATAAAATTCCTCATACAAAAATTATTGACAAAAGTAAATGTGATGATTTAGACACACTAACAGCAGAAATAAAAGAAAAGTTAATTGTTTCTGACCAAAAAACTAAAAATCAGTTATTAACATTTTTGCTGCAAGATATTTCAACGTCACTATATACCAAATTAAAGAAGCGCGCAAACTAAAGAAAATAAGTAGAATTTTTTCAGTTCCAGGCACTAAGAAAGGAAAAACATTTTCAGAAATAACATTAAATAGAGTCAACAATATATACCATGATGAAGAATTTACTAGACAAATGCCTGGTAAAAAAGATTACGTAAGTATTGGTAGAAAACAACACATGCAAAAGCGTCTTATTTTATGTAATCTTAAAGAACTTTATGTTTCTTTTAAAATTAAATATCCTCAAGAAGTTATTGGATTTTCTTAGTTTTGCAGTTTAAGACCAAAATGGTGTATAACTGTTGGAGCATCAGGCACTCATTCTGTTTGTGTATGTACCCTCCATCAAAATGCAATACTCTTGACCAATGCTATACAAATGAAATGTACTTACAAAGATATGATGACAAAAGTTGTTTGTGATGTGACAAGTAACGAGTGCATGGTTCATCGATGTCCGAACTGTCCAGATATGGTTTCTTTAAAGAAGTTTCTGGATGCACAACTAATTGGTAATGACAATGACGAGGAGGTGTCATTCAATCAGTGGCAGAAAACAAACAGAACAACATTGATCTATCAAACAACAACTATTGAAGAATACAAATTGATGTTATCAGAGGCAATAAACAAGTTAACAGCTCATTCCTACATTGCAAAATGTCAATCAAGATACCTAAAGCAACAAAAGAAAAATCTAGCAAAAAACTGCTGTATTGTCTTAGTTGACTTTGCAGAAAACTTTACTTTTGTGATTCAAGATGAAATCCAAAGTTACCATTGGTGCAAAAGTCAATGCACATTGCACCCTGTTGCCCTCTATTTATTAAACGAAAATGACCAACTTGAAGAAAAATCGTTTTGTTTCATGTAAGAAGATAATGAGCATGACACTGGTTTTGTGTATGAAGTTCAAACACAAATAGTTAACTATTTAAAAAAATATCATTCTAAAATTTCAAAGATTCTTTATTTTTCTGATGGTTGTGCTGCACAGTATAAAAACCACAAAAACCTTTACAATATCTGTCTCCATAAAAATGATTTTGACATTGATGCAGAGTGGACATTTTTTGCTACAAGTCATGGTAAGTCATCATGTGATGGTATTGGTCGCATTGTAAAACGATTAACTACAAATGCAAGTCTACAAAGGCCCGTAAATGACCAGATATTGAATTGTAACAAAATGTTTGATTACTGTACTTTCAATATTAAAAGGATTATTTTTTTCAAGATTGAAAAAGAAAGACTGACAGAATTGCGCACCACTTTGAAAACACCTTTTCAGCTAAGTAGAACAATACCTGGAACTAGGAGCTATCATCAATTTAAACCAGAATCTATAGATACTATTAGCTTTAAACGAACAAGTGAAGATGTTCATATAACAGGCATTTTTTCTTTTTCTGGTATTCAAAGTTCTCAGAATGATCAGCAAATTAACATTGATGCCTTGAAATTTAGTGAAGTTATTATGTGTAAATATGATGCGTTTGATTGGATTGGTATGATCAATGAAGTTGATAATATAGAGCAAGATGTTATGGTAACATTTATGCACCCGCACGGTCCTTTTAATAAACTTTTCTGGCCATCTAGAGTAGATGAGTGTTGGGTTCCAATTACCAAATATAATTGATGCACCTGTAACAACAAATGGACGTTTGTATACTTTGACCGTCAATGCATCTAAGCTAATCTTAGCATTATCTTGACAATTTCTTTTTTTTTGTATTTTATTTTGTAAATAATGAAGTAAAACGGAACAAGCATAAAGCAATAAAATATTTAAATACAATATTTTCAAAGTTATCTTAAATTTAAGACAAAAAAAAAAAAAAAAAATTTTTTTTAAAAATAAGCGGGGCATGGTCCCCAGTGCCCCAGCCCCATAGACCTTCTGGTCATCTGACCTGAAACTATTTTAAAGCATGTTCATCAGGACTACACAAATGCTGAAAGTTTCAAAGCTCCAACTAGTCTGGAAGATACTGAAAAATCCATCTCAAGATTCCGGTCAAAAAAAGTGGGGCACATCCCCCCAGCCCCCTCCCCTAGTGTCTTGGGCCCTTTTTTAATTTTAAAATGCACATTTATTGACACTACATAAATACAAAAATTTTCATCATTCCAGCTAGTCTGAAAGGTAGTGAAAAATGTATGGCAAGATTCTGCTACAAAATAGTGGGGCCTGTGCCCCGTTAACCATATATGGAAATCCATATACTTGCAGATCAAAATTTTTATGTTTTCTGAAAGATCATTAAACATAGAATAATGTGTACAATTTTTTTTTTATATATCATCAAGGCCACATGGCTTTCTTGAGCATCAAAATCAGGTATATAAAAAATTGCCTAAATTTATTTAAATTGATAATTACAAGTACTTAAAAAAAATTTTTTACATTTCTGATTATTTCATTGGATTCTTCGACCCTGAAAATAGCCAGGTACAAATTTTTAAGTTAAAAGATCAAATATTTTTAAAGCTATGTGACTTGGAACCTTTAAACAAAGGTCACACTTCTGAGGGGACAAGAGGGGCCTGGTCAAGATCATTTAAAAGTAAAATGATCATATTTCATGATCCTCTTGGAGCTAGAAGCTAAAATTTTCAAGGATTTTTTGTTTTACTAAGTACTCTCAACTGTATAAAAATTAGCAAAATCTGAGATGTATGGTGACATTTTTGAAATTTTCTGGCTCAATTGACATGGAATTACCCTATATACACTTTTATAAATATAATATACCAATTATAAACTTTTTTTAATTCGTTGAAAAAAAAATACAGACTATTTACCATTTTGATTTGAATTATTTATTTTAGTTTGATCGTCACCTTTATTCTTGGTACATTCATAAAAATTGTCTTCATAGTTCAACTCTTCTAATAAACAGTCCAACAAACCATCAAATACTTCTAAAAGATTTTTTACTTGAACCTTGTTTTGCTGCACTATTCCTTGGACATCAATGTGAGAAAGATCCATATCAAGAACATCTGTAGCAAGTGAGTCAACAACTACCTGGACATTATGAATTTGGTCTTCAATGCTCACAGGGGAAGAATTCAACCCTTACAGATATAAAATTAATTTACATTAAATAACAATAAAAGCTTTAATATATATATATATATATATATATATATATATATATATATATATATATATATATATATATATATATATATATATATATATATATATATATATATATATATATATAACATAACATTAACTTAACCTGTGGATATATGCATCAAACACCACTGATAACATTTCATAAATAAGCGTTAGGGCAGGCAATATATATATATATATATATATATATATATATATATATATATATATATATATATATATATATATATATATATATATATATATATATATATATATATATTATTAGGGATCGCTAGTTTACGGTATACTAAAATTTTAGTATATCGTTTACTGTATAGTATACCGTAAAGTACACTGTTAAGTATACCAATAACGTCATTGCAATAAACAACTTTTTTTACTTGATAAATTTGTTAGCGAAACTATAAGAGAAGTTAAAAAATGTTATTTGTTCAGTCGCAAGGGGACCAGACAACTTTTTTTAATTTCCCAACCCCGTCCTTAGCTAAATATTCAAATTAGCATTAGGTTGAATGTTTTTATTGGATTTGATATTTAACTGATTTAAAGTAAGAACAAAAATATATTTAAAGATTTTTAAAACTAATAACTTAAGTAATTAAATAAAAAGCGTTGATCAAAATCCACCACTTACTAGAACAAGCATTTAAAAATAAGTTCTGGTGTTTTCAAATAATTTTAGAAGAATAGAAACAGCAGAAACTTATCACATGACACAAAACTCCTCCCTTGTTCAATTTTTTGCAGTTTTTGCACTCTGGGGCCCTAACCTTGTTATAGATTTGTTGGCCATCTGGACTTTGTCTGCTCTCTACTTTTTTAGGATGCCTTTGAGACAGCAAAATAAACATAATCAGGTGGAAGAATAAATAAATACTAAAGTAAACAAAAACATTTTTATTTTCATTTAAACAAAATTTGACTAATATTTTTCGATGATCTAAAGATTTGTCGATGTAATATAAAGATTTTTAAAACTTCTTAGTAATTAAATAAAGCATTTAATTAGCCAACTGTGACAATAAATCACTTGTATCAACTGAAGTCTCTAAAGTGAAATCAACATTAACACCATCCTCATCACTCTCATCACTCTCATTGTGATCACTAGTATTGCCAAGCATTATATCAGCAATATTTGCTTCTTTTTCGTGGAGTGTTGCATTTGCATACATAAGAACCAATCCAATTGCTTTATCTTTTGCAAGTCGGTTTCTTCGCTTTGAATGAATAAAATCATACAAACTCCATATTCGCTCACTTGCAGCTTGAGAAGTTGGAATAGTAAAGACTATTTGTGCAACCTTTGCTAAATTTGGAAATTTACTTGCACCCTCAACTCCCCACCAGATATCAGGATCCATTAATTTAATCTGAGTTGCAAAATCTGGAGTCGGATTTGCACATAGCCTCTGAAATGATTTTATTCCTTTTTTTGAAATTTCATAATTGCAAAGTCCTCTTGTTTCAACTATGTACTTTGGAAGCAACTCAAGTACTATAACAAGATCACTTTTGCTAGATGGAGGAGACTCAGTATACATATTTCTGCCACCATGATTTCGTGGATCAAGAAAGTATGCAAATCCCATAGATGGCGTGTGAATAAATTCCCATCTGCTTAAAACAAGAGTTTTCAATACTGCGTCTTCCTTCCATATTTCCATTAAGTTAACAAACCCTATATAAACTTCAGAAAGTAGACAACTATCGGATTCCAGTTTACCTACTAATTTTGATAATGGTTTCATAACATTAATAAAACGTTGACATTCTTCCCAAAAAAAAATTGTCTTGTACAATGTTTACATAATCTGATTTTTTTTTTTATATAGATACACGTGAGAAGGCACCAGAGTTAATTAAATTCAAATGAACTAGTTTGTTTTCAAGATTACGGGTAACAGATGTATGATGGCTATACCACCGTGTTAAAACTACATGTGATAATGCTCGCATTTTCTTCAAATTATTTTCTTGTTTAACACAATTTTGAATTATACGAAATTGATCGATAAGTGATGTTCTTTGTTTAACAAAGGCTGTCAGTTTTCCAGACTTTTGTAAAATATCCACAAACTCAGGAAGAAGGCAAATATCTTTTACTAAAAGATTTATTGTATGGGCAGCACAACCATTGCAAAATATTTTTGGATATTTTTTTTCAATAATATCCCATGCAGCTCTCATGTTTGATGCGTTATCAGTAACAATGCTTGTAACTTTATCAACACCTATTTCAAGAATTATATTTTCTATGCGTTTTGCAATATTAATGCCAGTTTGCTGTTCTTGACCAGTAGGCTCAATTTTGTAAGCAATAGGTTTCATAGTCCTATTTTCAACATGAATTGAATAACTAACAAGATGATTCACATTAATGTTTGAAAATCCATCAGTCACTATACTAACGTGTTCAGAACTATCAACATATTTTTTTATTGCATGTTTTTCATCATTTAATGCATCTTTATAAAGACGCCCACTTATACATTTACTAGATGGAGGTTTATATGCAGGTCTATGATTAGCATGATGTTGCTTCCATGCAGAAGAATCAGCTAATGCAAAAGTCCTTGCATATGATTTATCTATCTTATCAATGTCATCTTTGCTTATAGTGTCAAAGTATGAACTTAGCATAGTTCTTTTAGCAGGCTGCCCAGATTCTTTGAAAACTAAATTTTCAGAGGTTTGTGAAGCCATATTATCATATCCTTTTGTTTCAACTATAACACTCTGAACTTCTTTTTTTATTTTTTTAAAGCACAACTTAACCTCATCAGACGTTTTTTTACATCCTCTCAAATGCTGCTCCCATCTTAATGTTGATTTTGCTGTAATTTGTTTATCACAATATTTTTTTTTATCACAACAAATTTTTCTTGTTGAACCTTTTCCAAAAAAAGAGATATGTTGGTAAATTTGTTCTGACATTAAATATTTTACTTCAAGGTAAGAGTAAACATGTTACTTTTATTCATACAATAAACAAATAAAAAAGAACAAAAAACAATTAAAATTTAAATAAATAAATTCAAAAACCTTTCAAAAGTTAAATTACAAAAAAACAACACTTTAATAAATGATAATTCTTTTAATACTACTATAAATAATACTATATTTATTATTAATAATTATTGTATTATTTATCTAAAAAAGTAATCGCGTAATACATATAATACAATTATTTAATCAATTAAGATAATATCATTATTGAATTATAAAATCATTTAAAAAATATTTCATAAATAACAGGTATACTAATTGGTATAGTAATTTTTAGTATACCAACTATACGGTAAAGTATACCGTAAAGTTAGTATACTGTATACTGTAACCGGCGATCTCTAATATATATATATATATATATATATATATATATATATATATATATATATATATATATATATATATATATATATATATATATATATATATATATATATATATATATGAGTTAAAAACAATCATTTTCATCAAATACTGTGTATTTAAAATCACAATTTTCATTTTCCAGTACAAACAATTGTATGTTATACTTAAAACAGCAATTGTATGTTATACTTAAAACATATTAAAAGTATACACAATCTACAATAAAGAGATAATGGAGAGACATTTTATTCATGATATATTTTGGTACAATAGGGCAATATAAAATGTATACTTTAAAACATCATATTCCCCTATTGTATAAAAATTTTTTTACAAAAACAAAAAAACAAAAAAAAACAAAACAAAAAAACAACAACAAACAAACAAACATTATATACATATATCAAGTGTTGAATTAAAGTTTATTAACTCTGTTTACTGTTATTATCATAAAATTTAGTAAAAAGTATTCAATAAAAAATATTTATCCATTAATCTTCATATCTATAATACAAAACTTGTTGATTTAAACTTGAATAGCTTGATCATACACAAATAATCAAATAAAAATAAAAAAACAAACTAAACAGTACAATGTAATATTAAAAAAAGTTAAAAAACAAAAAAAAAAAGAAAACAAAAAGATATTATAGATATAAAGAATATGTACTTTTATATTTATCGTGACTTGTAATAGACCTTATATTTTATACTTTTATATTTTTTTATTGTGAGTTGCAATAGTTGGCAAGAACTTAACAATCATAAATTATTTTTAGTTGCAATCACATATTTTTATACTTTATTTGTATCTTATTTAACTAAACTAAGTACTATCTTTGGTATTATAAAAATGGTTGTAATATTTAATTTAACCAAATAAAAATGTAGATGTTTACCAACATATAGGTGTTTACTAACATTTATCTTAACAAACTAAAAATGTAGGGGTTTAAAAAATGTGAAAACTAATTTTTAACATTTAAAGTTTAAAAATAACAACAAAAAACTATTGGAATATTTTAAAAATATATAAAATTATATCTACTTTTTTATTATTAATTTAAACTATTTATTAAATATTCATTAATAATAATAATAATAATAATAATAATATTTATTTGCATTAAAAAAAAAATACATTAAAATACAAAAGGGTGAGACAGGTAATCACAAGATTACGCTTGTGATTACCTGTCATGTAACACCTGAACAAAGGCAATTTACCTGATTACATGTAACACCTGAACAAAGGCAATTTACCTGATTACATGTAACACCTGAACAAAGGCAATTTACCTGATTACATGTAACACCTGAGCAAAGGCAATTTAATACAATACGCAACTTTGTTGTAAGTCGTAAGTTTGTAGTTTTTTTTTGAATATGAATAATGAAGATGAATCCACAATGTGAGCAGGCAATGAATTTCATATTTTTACAATTCTTTCACTGAAAAAAAATCTACATGTATCATTAGTACATTTATTGCGTAAAACTAATTTTTTCGCATGACTTCTAGTGGGGTAATGAGAATTAGAAAATGTAAAGA